AGAAATAAATCAACATCATGTTAGAATTGTAAATTCCTTATAGTTTTTTATTTTTCATATAATGCTTTATTCTGCTATTTCATCTTGTATTCTTTTTTGAATCTCTTACACTCTTTTTTGTTTTTTTCAGAGTCAAGATAGAAAAGGATATCGCAAATGAGGAGGAGGTGAGAAATGATCTGAGGATAAGGATGAAAGAATTACAAGATAACGAGAACAATGCTAAGAAACAATCAAAAATGTGGCAGGATCTGAAAGAATTGATGAGAGTTAAAAATGAGTGCTTTGAAAGGCGAAAAGAGCTGATTCTTCATCCATCACAAGAAAAAAAGGACCATCTTATTCTGTAAACAGGACTGGTCAAAACTCAATAAACAAAATCTTGTTTAACATCCCATTCATGCTTTGAGCAAAACAAATACACTGCTTGTAATTGTATTAAAACATTTGTTGCTGTTTCTATTATGATGCTGCATTTTGAATTATTGATTGAGAATAAGTGATGAAAAGAGTAATGGTGATGACAAAGAGTAGAAATGATAAAAGTGTGGTATTAATGTTGCTGTAGGTTATTCATCAGTTACAGTAAGACATAACAACTTTCATTTCTTTAGATGTTGCTGAGCATTAGCACTTTAGACATCTCTCGAACGATGTGTTTCCGATAGAACCACCTTGCATTGCTTTTCTCACATGTTGCTCAAACATTCGTCGGTTATTTTGAAGCATATCTGCAGCTTCTTTATTCAGTGGATCTTCAGGATTGGGTTCCTATTAAAAAGATAATAAGTAATAAGTTAGAAGATAAAACGGTGATGAGTTAATGACGATTAAATTCATAACACTTACCAAAAAGAGATATTGTAAACCATAAACAATCGAATTTATGGTAAGAACGGGTTTCCAGTCTTCACGAAGAATATTTAGACAAACATTTCCTTCGAGATCGATATTTGGGTGGAATACCTTTGTCTTGCATTTTACTTTCGGTGGATCGTGAGGATAATTAGGGCTAACTTTGAAACTAAATATAAATCTACCACCCTTGTAGAAGCCCTGAAAATAAGAAGAGAAAAAATAAACTTTTAAAATGACTTTGATTGTATTAGCAAATTTGCAAGGTTAATAAAACAAAGAAAATAAATAGCCTAACCATAATAAATAAAATAGTATAAGAACAATCTTGTTCAGCTATTGTGCATTTAAATTATTAAAAAAATAATAAAACAGAGTATTATTACCTCATCTGGCATAATAACTAGTTGAAAGTTAAGTAAATCATCCGGGTCTGGGAACTCAATATTACATGTTTTAGGTAGAGTTAGTTCATTGATATCTGAAATGGAGTATGAGAGAGGATAGAAAGAAAGAGAAGATATAATCAAAATTAACAAACTTGGTTTATTAGAGTCCAAATAACTGGATAATTTGAATTTCTGTATGTATAGGAAAATGAAACAAACCTTTTGTAATCCTTAATTGAGCTGCTGAAGCTCTTTTCTGACTAGATTCCGATTTATTAGAGCCATCACCATCTTTTTTCTGGTTTTTCAATGAGAACAGCTTAATCATGGTTTATAAGCCTAATAACTTTGAGCAATAAACTTGAGGAATGGTTAGACACTAAGAGAGCTGGACTAAATGATAAATTATATAACAATCAACAAAATTCAATTAATTGCGACTTTAAACTTTACTTGACTCTTTATCAGGAATATTGACAGTGAGTAAAAAGTAAAGATATAAAAAGATTGGTTAAGTGAAAAAAGATTTAATAATCAGATGTTAATTTTTTTAGATCTGTGAGATAGCACTGCCATCTATCGAATTTAATACTATTGAAAATTCAGGTTAGGATAATTTCAAAATTAAATAAAAATCTCCAAGTCTAAACCTAAAGAAATAAACAGATTTTAAAGCATGCCAATGAAATTTTAAAATTTTTAAGTGACAATTAAAATGAACTGAACTCTTTCATTGAAATTATCAAAAAATTTCATCCAAAGTTAATGTAAACTAGTGTTACCATGGTAATAGAAAACATATGGTGTCAATTGTTGTCATAAGCCATTTTTCATTTTACTGCTGGTTTAAGCCTAAATCTGGATTTACCAATTTTTCATCGTAAAAATGTCTTCTTCAGGTTAGTCATTGATTATTTCATTTCATTCTTGCCACTAATCTAAAATCAGAGAGAAATATTTACTCTATTTTGCTAATGTTGTCATCTTTCAACACAGGTTCTGGTAAAACTTCTCGGGAAAGAAGTTCCTTTTGAAAGAGTATTACAAACCCGAAGAAATGATTCCTGAGAATGGAAGTATTGAT